CTGCAGAATGCATGGGAATGAGCCAGATGTGGGTTGGCATGGCTTCGGTAACACTAGGGAGTGTGTACCAGCACCCATGCTGCTTGTCATAAATGTTATTTTGTGCTCTGTGAGAGAGTGGCTGTGTTTGTTTCACTGTCCAAACTCCATTTTGGATTTTCTTTCTGAATCGTTGGAGTGGGGATGGCTCTAAGTGGGGTGGAATGCAGTGGGAAGAGAGATCCATGGAGTGCTATAAGTCACCCTAAGATACTGAAATGCTGTTGACCTGGAGGAGACAGGAATTGGTGGAGTGGATAAAGACCAGAATGGAGAGGGTTTGAGCCTGTCAGAATGAGCAAGCTTTGAAAAAAAGCCACAGGGAGAGCAAGTGGAGCCAACCCTAAGGTTTCCCCTCCCTCTGTTCCCTCAAAGCACTTGATGATGCAATTCTAGTGACTCCTACAACCTACCAAACTGATTCCTTTCCCTCTTTCTACAAGATAGAAAGGAATATGAGGGAAAGGGGAGGTTGTTCAAGTCATAACAGATCCTGCAGCTTGCTATTTGTTGTCTTAAGTGTCAGGCTATTTTATTTACCTAATTGTTTTTAATAAGTCAAAAAATCATTAACAAAATCAATTAACTGTCAAATTCCATGACCAAAGGATCATGAATGAGGAGGGAACAGTTTTAAGAATGGGGAAGAGTCTCGGAGAACAGACATGAGAGATATTTCCTATTTTTAGTAATTTGGGACATATTTGAGGTCAGGTATAGATTGATATAGAACCCTGGGGGCCAGCTGCAGCCCATGGAATCAGGAGTGATATTTCGCATTGGAAAGACAGTGAGCTATATCCCAGCACAAAGAAATGTCCCCATGAAGTTAGCATTAGCAGGCTAATGCCATGTTATAACACTCTCCTCAGTGAGGATCCCGAACATATTCTGTGAGAATAGACTGAGCAATTAAGAGATGTGACCTCTACCAGCTCACTGGCTACCATGCAATTTGATCTAGCTCTGTTCCATAACGTTGTATTACCAATGAGTATACAGGCCAGGGTAGGAGACATTAGATGAGTGACTAATCCCAGAGTCAAATGAAGGACTTTAAATGAGAACCAGGAAAATACTCTGTGGATATGCTTTTAGGGTGTTATAATGTGCTCTTTGGAAGGGTCTACGTCTCAGCACTAGGGTTTATGAAAAGCCTGCAGGTGCCTGGGCAGCACAGTGCTCCAAAAGCACAGAGGTAGGTGGCTGAGTCTTCAGGCTGGGTGTCAGTGATGTGCAGTGATCTATAGTGCTCCTTCCTGCTGATCAAGGAACTTAACCTTCCATTCGTTTTCTCCTCTGAAACTATGTACAATAGGGAGGTGAGGCCTTTCTGAGGATCCTGTCTGAACCACTTTAGCTCTTGACTAATAGTTTCTGTGTAGCTGCAGTTAGTTGTGGTGCTCTCTCCCTCCTGGATCTTCACAGACTGAGGGCTCTGCTCCACCTTCAGTAGGCAGCTCACCCCTAGGCAGAAAGACAATGTCAGATCATTGGTCATCAGGTCAGCATCTCCCATCACTTTATCTCTATCACTTCCACAACACAGCCAGGGAGCCCCATTTGATCAGTCCCTGACTACCTCTAAGTTCCTTGAGGAATGGCTTCTGGTCTTTCCTGTCCCCATCTACAGAAACCCCTCAACTCACAGGTCAGGTGAAGACACAGGATCACTAGTGAGGCTCCATAGCGTGTCTCCATCTTCCAATATGAAGGCCAGTGAACAGCTAGTTCTGGATTGTAGGAAATGGATTGTTTAGTGAAAGGAGACTTTGTCAGTTCTAAATCCTTCTAGTTTTCTTTCCCCTGGTGAAATAGGGTAAGTGTTATCAATCTCACTTCTTAGCCAATCAGCCTGATCTTTCATTTCATACACATATGTAGTCACATTCATAGATGCTCAACCTGAGCACTCAGCTGAAGGTATGTCAGACAGTGGCAGTGTTGCCCTCCTCAGGCCATGCATATTATATTTCTGGGGCAATGAGAAAATGATCCCTCTTCACAATTCATGAACACTTTGTACAAAGAGATCACCATATTTCTTCTCTTTCTCCCAACACACCTTTTGTAAGTGCCTACTGTGTGCAAATCACTGTTCTGGATTGAAATGCACAACAAGCTATGTGTCTGTTGTGAGTGTGATGAATATGAGAAGCACAGAAATGACTAGGGCACAGGGTAGAATGTGATAGGGGCAAAGAAAAGACATAAAATTGCTAAAAAGAAATAAGAGAACAGAAAAGATACTAACTGGGTTGAGAGTGTTATGGCAAGTGTCATGGAGGACATGAGCCTTCAGATTCAGAAGGGACATCATAAGGTAGAGATGTGCGGAAACTGAAGGGGGCTATTGAATGAATGGTGAATGATATGAGCAGAGCAATTGACATGGGAACCTGCAGGATAAGAATGGGAGGGAGGACATAGAGCAGTCTCATTTATTTAGACCATGAATCCATGAACAGAGGTAAAATGACATAAGGTCAGATCAATAGGTTGTGGAAGACCTTGAAGGACAGGATCAGGAGTTTGAGCTTTACTCAGCAGGCAGTGGTGAGCCACTGAAGGTTTTTGAGAAGAGTTGTGACATCATCATGGTGGGGCATCATGAAGACCGCGTAGATAGTGGCATTGAAGGCAGATTGCAGAACAGATAGACTGGAGTCAGGACAACGACTTAGAAAGCTATTATAATAGTTTATATAAGAAGAGATAAAGCCTAACTGAATGAAGCAGGGCTTGCAAGTAATTATATGTGTTGGTTAAGGGACAGAGAAGAATCAGAAATGACTCTTCCTATTACTGAATATTTAACATACATGGGCTGCTAGACCTACATGGGAGAAAGACAGCATACTCCTCTGTCCTCAGGACGCTTGAGGTCTATCATGAAGAACTCAGTTTGACTTAAATGTGAATAAGTCTGGGAAACAATCAGTCCTGAAGAGTTTGTATTGGCCAGCTAACTGGAACAGTAAATAGAGTGCAGGGCCTAGAGAGGGGGTGGAGAACCTGTGGCCTTCTAGGTCCTTGGGTACAGCCCTTTGACTGAGTCCAAGTTTTACTGAATAAATCCTTTTATTAAGGTGATTTGTTTTGTGAAGTTTGGATTCAGCCAAAGGGCAACACTTGAGGACCTACAGGGACACGTGTGGCCTTGAGGCTGTAGGTTCCCCAACCTTGGTCTAGAGTTATGAAGATTTGAGTTCAAATCCCACCTCAGACACTTCATAGCTGTCCGATACCTGGCAAGTTGCTTAATCTCTCTTTTCCTCAGTTGCCTCATTTGTTCAATGGGTATAATAATAGCATCTGCCTCCTAGGGTTGCAGTGAGGATCATTTAAGACAAAAATTGGAAAATGCTTAGTAAGTACCAGGCACGTAGGATAGACTCTATAAAGGCTAGCTGTTAGTTGATGCTGTTGTTACAAGAAAGGGAATTCTAGGAACGTGTTAGGTTCCTGTCCCAAATGCATATCCATGGTCTAGTAAAAGGATCTTCCCTCTCCTGAGTGGGAGAAACCTTGTGGAAATCTTCATCATCACAACACCTATTACATTTTAAAATTAATTGAAATCATTTCTGGAAAGAAATTCAGCTAGTTGTTAGCTCACAGCTGTGCTAGTTGGAACTTTCAAGAATTTGGAGTCCTGGAACAATGCAGGTCAAGGTGATTAGCAATATCAAGGGCCATGAGGAAAATGTCTTCCTTAGCTGGGAATTCCATACCCAGAGATAAAATTAGGATGCCGGTTCTGGAAGGATGCTAAGAAAACCAGTAGCTCTGCCAACTGGAATCTAGGTTTGGAATTGGGTAGGGAAAAACTGGAAATGACTTTGGGACAACAGCAAATAGAATTTCTAAGAATAGTGGGAGCCGACAAAGTTCAAAGCCTAGTTCTAATCATATTTTCACTGAAATGAAGGGATTTCTATTCTCAGAAGCAAAAAACATTTCTGATAATTTTAGCTGTTGTTATTTAAATGAGTTAATCTTTTCCTCTAGGTGTTTTGTTTTGTTTTGTTTAGTTCTTGTTATTCAGTCCTTCAATATTACTGGTATGAGAAACATGGAAGAAGTCTTGAACTAATGAAGATTGGTAAATATCTCTATTTTTTAATCTTAGAGAGTTGTTAGGGGGATCTGAAAGGTTAAGAGAACTGGTGATATTCACATAGGTGATATTTGTCAGAGGAAAAGCTTTCACCCAGATCTTTCTGACTGTGAGGACAGCTTTGGAATCAGGAAAGACCTGAGTTCAAGAGATATTGGAGATGCTTACTATATGAATCACTTAACATCTGTCCACCTCAGCTTCCCCATATGTAAGAATACTATAGTAATAGCTTCTTAGAATTATTGTGAGGATCAAATGAGGTGATATATGAAAAACACTTTGAAAACTTAAAACACTAAAAAATTCTAGCTATGGTGATGATAATGTTTAGGTCATGCTCCATCTTCTATTATTAGAATTAAGGAAGGAGTAATCATTTCAGAGACAGAAAAGATAGGTGTGCAGGCACTACATTATTGCCCAAGTGTTGTTGTGTTATTTCATTTAGCTAATTGTTTTTAATAAATCAAAAGATCATTAACAAAATCAATTAACTGTCAAATCCTGTGACTGAAGGTTCATGAATGAGGAGGGAAGAGTCATAGTGTGTGACTAGAGGTTCAGAGAACAGACATGAGAGACATTTCCTGTTTTTAGTAATTTGGGACACATATAGATTGATATAGAACCTTGGGGACCAGCTACAGCCCCTGGAATCAGGAAAGAAATTTCACTTTGGAATGAGTGGGGCATGGGGCTGTATCCCAGAACAAAAAAATATCTCCATGAAGTTAGCAGGCTAATGCCATGTTAATACACTCTCCTTAGTGCTGAACCCTAACATATTCTTAGAGGCTAAACTGAGTAATTAAGAGGTGTGACCTCTACCAGGCCACTGGATACCACCCAATTTGAGCTAGTTCTGTTCCATAACCTTTTATTACCAATGAGTATACAGGGCAGGGCAGGAGACATTAATTAGGTGAGTGACTGATCCCAGAATCACATGCTGGAATTCAAATGAGAACCAGGAAAATGCTCTGTGGATATGCTTTTAGGGTGTTATAATGTGCTCTCTGGAAGGGTCTGTGTCTCAGCTTTAGGGTTTGTGCACAGCCGGCAGGTGCCTGGGGATCACTGTGCCCTTACAGCACAGAGATAGGTGGCTGAGTCTTCAGCCTGGGCACCAGTGATGTGCAGGGAACTCTGACGCTCCGTCCTGCTGATCGTGGATCTTAACCTTCCATTCTGTGTCTCCTCTGAATTTATGTACAACAGGGAAGTGAGGCCTTTCCCTGGATCCTTCCTGAACCACTGCAGCCCTTGGCCAGTAGCTTCTGCGTAGCTGCAGTTGATTATGGTGCTCTCTCCCTCCTGGATCTTCAGGGACTGAGGGCTCTGCTCCACCTTCTGTAGGCAGCTCACCCCTGGGCAGAAAGACAATGTCAGACATAGGTCATCAGGTCGGCATCTACCATCATTTGATCTCTATCACTTCCCCAACACAGCTGGGAAGCCCCATTGTATCAGTCTCTGCCTGCCTCTAAATCCTTTGAGAAATGGTTTCAGGCTTTTCCTATTCCCCTCTACGGAAACCCCTCAACTCACAGGCTAGGTGAAGATACAGGATCATCAGTGAGGCTCCGTGGCATGTCTCCATCTTCCAATTCCAGGGTCAGTGAGCAGCTAGTTCTGGGTTCTGGGAAGTGGGTTCTTTAGTCAAAGGAGACTTTGTCAGTTCTAAATGTATCTAGTTTTTTTTTTTCCTCTGTGAAATCAGGGAAGTGATTTTCTGCCTCACTGCTCAACCAATCACAACCTGGTCTGTCTCTTTCACCCAGTAAGCAATCCCTTTCACAGCTGCGCAGGAGGAAATTCAGCTGGTCTGAAGGTGGAAATACTGTCTCCTGCAGCTCACAGATAGCATGTTACTGGGCAATTAGAGAATGTTCCTCATTAGGAATTCCTGAGTATTTTTGTGATAGAGCAATTGTTGACTATATTGTTACATTTTATTTCTGTCTTTACCCCAAAGGAAAAAAAAATAAACCTTTTGCAAGCATCTACTATGTGCAAGACAGTGTTCCAGATTCAGATGAAAAATGGAACACCCACTCTCCGCAAGCAAAGAGAAATGTGAGGAGAGTGAGATGTACATAAACGAGTACAGAATGTTACGGGACAAAGGAATGCTGTAAATATGGATAAAATAAATTTGGAGAGGGAGAAATAATGTTCAGTTGGGTTGGGAAAATCAAGGCATGTATCATGGAAGAGTTGCACCTTGAAACAAGGAAAGGATGTCACTAGATGGAGATAGATAGAAATTGAGGTGGGGCAGCCAAGTAGTGCAGTGAATAGAGTGCCAGGCCTGGAGTCAGGAAGACCTGAATTCAAATCTGGCCTCATGTACTTACTAGCTGTGTGACCCTGGACAAGTCACTAAACCCTGTTTGCCTCAATTTCCTTATCTGTAAAATGAGTGGCATCAACAAATCACTCCAGTATCTTTACTGAGAAAACCCCAAATGGAGTAATGAAGAGTCAGACATAACTGAAAATGACTGCACAACAACAACAATATTGAATATTGAGGGATAACATATGCAAAAAGATTCTGATGGAAGCCTTCCATCAAATGTGTAGAATATTCTAGTTGGTCAGAATCACAAATGTATGCAGGGGAATAAAGTGGCCTAAAGTTAGACCAATTGCTTAAACCTTGTTTGTGAAGCAACATTAATGCCAGGGTCAGGAGTTTAAACTTTATTCAACAGACAATTTGCAATCACTGAAGATGTTTGGATAAGGTGACATCATCCTGGTGGTACATTATGAGGATTCCATGTGCGTTGAAGTTAGATTGTGGTGGTGAGGGAGAGGTATATTGGAAGTAGGACAATGTTTAGAATACTATTACAGTAGTCCAGGCAAAAAAAGAAGATAAAGATCTAATTGTAAAGAGAAGAACATTCTGCAAGTGATTGCATGTGTTGGTAAGAGGCAGGGTAAGATCAAAATGACTCTGTCTGTCACTGAATTTTACAGCAGGTTTCAGAGCACAGAGTGTTCCAGAGGCATGCCATTGCCCTCATAAGCCTTCGTTTCTAGAGTGAGGATGTCTGTGTGGCTTAAATGTGAAACGAATCTTGGGGGTAATCAGAGGTGAAACTTTTGTCAGTGATCCCAGGGACTCTGGGCACATTTTCATTCATGTAGAAAGATGGGACCTCCATTGTCAAAAAAGGGACTAATTCTCTAGTCTTGCCACAACTTTCACAATCATGATTATTATTATTATTATTAACATAACTGAAATATTTCTGGAAAGAAACTTTGCTGTTGGCTTACACTGCAAAAGGTGGAATTCCCAAGTGAAAGAACTGTTCAGATCATTTGGAAGGCTACAAGGGCCCTTCCAAATAAAATAAACATTTATTTAGTGCCTAATATGTTCCAGGTGTGCTAAGTTCTTTACAAATATGATCTCATTTGATCCTCACAAAAAAAGCCTGTTAGGTGAGTGTTATTATCCCCATTAAACAGTTGAAGAAAATGAGGCAACTGAGGAGGTTAGGTGACATTCCCAGAATCATACACCAAGTTAAGTGTCAGTGGTATAATTTGAACTAAGGTTTTCCTGATTTTAGACAGAGCATTCTATCCACTGTACCACTTAGCCGCCTCTAATCCATAAGGGTAATATTTTCTCAGTAAGAGAAACTGCAGAGTTTGTGCATATTTTGCTAGTGTCTTGGGACATTGTGCTTGCATACTCAGAAGGAGATGGCTGAAGCCAATGATGTTCAGGGTCCTGGTGGTTGTCCTTCCTGACCATGGATCAGAATCTTCCTTCCTACTTCCCTTCTGAAGCCAAGTAAAATAGGATGATTTATTCCCAAGTGAAATAGGGAGGCCTCCCCTAGGAACCTGCAAGTCTTATAAAGTCACCTCTGTATAACTGAAGTAGATGGGGGACTCTCTCCCTCTAAAGACTTTCAGGGACCGAAGAAATTAGTGTCTCTTACAATTTTGTTCATCCTTCCAAATCATTGCCAGGAAACCCCATATCTCTCTTCCTCAGAACTGTGAATAATTTTCTGGCTTTCCCTTTTCCCAGTTCCAGAAGTCTCCTAACCCATGGCTCTGATGAAGACACAAAGTCACTAAGGAAGCTCTCCAGGGCATCTCTATTCTTCCTCCTGTTGCAGATAATGAACACTCAAATGAATTCTGGTTTGTGGGCTCCCTAATCATAGATTCTTTGCTCTAGGGAGCTTGGGGATTCTGAGCCTGGCTCAGCCAATCACAGCCTAGCTGTCATCTCACACCTGTACACAGTCTCCCATTCAAGGATATAGAGCTATTATCACACACCATTTTTGAAAATGATCATGCCACCCCCCTCAGGCCCTCCATATAATTACTGGGACCATGAGTATAGACCTTGTAAACAAAAAAGATTCACTGCTCTTTTAATAAATGAAGTCAGCACTAATGATGATCCAGGCACTATGCTTGGTACTGGGGATATAGATATGAAAAGTGAAGGGCCCTGTCCTTCAGGTACTTACAGTCTAATGTAGTTGGGAGAGGTTCTGTATGACATTACAATCAAATCACGTTCTTCTGTATAGATTCTAAAATTACTTATCTATGAACAGATTGAGAATATCAGCACCTTATATTTGCATCTCCAGGACCTCACAAACTTGGTACTTAGGAGTTGCTTGATAATGCTTGTTGATTGCTGATGCCAGATAAAATTTGAAAGGAGCAAAAGAAAATCAGGGCAATTGCAGTAAGATATCTATTTTTGCAGAAATGACTCTGTTGGGTTCGGCAGAATCAGGGAGGCTTCATGGAAGAGGTGGTGTCTGAATTGATGGCCTTGAAGGAAGGGAGGTATATCAACAGAGAACATAGGTGGGACAGCTTATTTTAAGCATGGGGGATGATGTAAACAAGAAGTGGAGAGGGTGCTTACAGGATGAGAATGGGAGATTGAGAGGAGTCTCAGATGTCCGGAATATGAATACTTGAAGAAGGAGACAATGATGTTTGACACTGAACAGGTTGGTTGCAGCCTGTTTAATGAAAGCTCTAAACGCAACTTTGACCCCGTTCAAATGCCTCTATTTAAATGCCGGTCGGTGGCTCCCCAGTAGACAATGGGAATCATTGAAGGTATTTGAATAGAGGCATAATAACAGCAAAGTGGTGCATTATGACGACTACCCAGGTAGATACAGAAAAGAAAGGCTGAAGGTCAGATGGCTGCTTAGATGTCTATTATAATCACCTAGGCAAGTAGAAATGAAGACCTGAATGAGGGCAGTAGACTTTGCAGGTGATTGGATGTGTGAACAAAGAAGAAAGAACAAAAGAACCGATGACATTTAGAATGGACAAAGGCCTCTGTGATTAGGGAGCCCACACTGCATCTCAGACACCAGAACACAGTTGGATGTTCACTGGCTGTAGCAGGAAGAAGAATGGACATGCCCTCTAGAGCTTCTATAGCAATTATTACTGAATATTTATTATGTTTATTACTGAATCTTTATCGAGTTCTCGTATTTATGAAGACATAGACACAAGTGCAGGAGTAATAGGAGGTATGAATGAGCTTTAATCCTAGCACGGGGCAGCTGTTTTGGCTGAATATACTAAAGAGTTCTTAAGGGATCTGAGGAATATAGGCAGCAATACAGTAGAACGAACGCTGTGTCAAAAACCTAGGGTCAAAGATTACAGCTCCTTTTCCTTTGTGACCTGGGTATCACAGAACCTCCCTAAACTTTGGTTCTTCCTCTATAATATGAAGGGGTTAAGCTAAATGACCTCTGATGCTCTCTCTAGCCCTAGTTCTTGGATCTTCACCTCAGTAGACTGCAGGCACATTTTAATTTCTCACGTAGAAGAATAAGATTACCCAGGATCTGGAAAGGGTGATCTTTTCTGGAACAAGATCTTAGAATTTTTTTTTCTGAAGGTAACTATTTTTCTGAAGGTAATTTTGTGAGAGAAACTCCCTGTATAAGTGCTTCTAATCTACAAAAGAGAGAACTTTGAAGGGTTGGAGCCATGGAAGTACACAGGAGAGGGAAGTCATTGGTTTTGGGACTCAGGGAAATGACTTCTAAAGTCAGGAGGCTTCACATGCAGAAGTGAGACTAGTGAACTGATCCTAAAAGGAGGGTTAGAAAGCCAGTGCCTTTGCCAGCCTGAATTTGGCTTAGACAAGGGAACTGACATCTTGATCTAGCATCCATACAGGATGGGACTGGAGCTATTTCTGGATACAAGCACTGAATGAAAGAATCTGTAAACAGATGTGGCTAATAGTGTTCATGGAAGGAAGGAAGAAAGGAAATAAAACTTTGTCAAGAGCTTACTATGTGCCAGGCACTAGGTTAAAGGCTTAGATTCATTCACTTTTTCATTGACATTTAGGGCTATCTAGATCTCTACCTGTGTGGATATCTAGAGTTGCTTTCTTTTCTGCTTAAAATACGTTTTAAAAAATTCTACATTTTAAAAATGTTTCCTTTGTTTTTAATTTTTTTTCATGTTTCATGGCTAATATGGAAATACGTGTCATGTGGCTTCTCATGTATAATAGATATTATATTGTTTACCTTTATAATGGGGGGGAAGGGTTGGAGGGAGAGAAAGAATTTGGAACTGAAAGTAAAAATCAGGAATGTTAA